TAAAAAACTTAATTAACTGCTTCTGACAAGTCTGCAGAACCAGACGGCAAAGCGCAAACCTTTATTTCTGAATGGATCAAATCTAGGCTAACTCACCTGTAGCTGCTCTGTCCAGCACTCACAACAACGTCCTTAAAGACAGAATTAAAGCAGCGATTCGTAAATTCGTCTGAAGTCTGTGGGTTGTACACTTTTTTCAGTTTCTCTTCTGAACTGACGCTGGGAGGAGTTTGATAACACAACACACCACACAACACACACACACCACACAACAACACACCACACACAACACACAACACACAACAACCACATCACACACACACACTGTCACTGTGCACTGCTGATGAATGTATGCTGCAGAGTTTGACCCTTGAAGGCTGTTTCTTCTGCTCTCTGAACATGGAATATATCTTTTACGCTAATATATAGATTATTTAGATTTTATTTTGGATCTTTATTTGTGAATGGGAGAAGTAGTAGAATGGCGAAACATACCAAACACTAATTATTACAAAGTAGAAGTATTTCTATTATACGGTAATACTAAAGGAGGACATCAGGCCTAATACTGATAGATAATGTTTGACATTATTGATATTAAAAAAGAGATTTATTTTTCAATGTCATATCGTCAGTGTTTTTTCTTATCAAAAGTGAAGTTATGTTATTTGTAAGAAACTCCAAGTCGAATGTTTCCCGCAATGGCCTTTGTGCTGGCATGTTGCCTTTAGCGCCATGAAAAAATGGTATGACACCGAAAGAGCAAAATGGCCTGCCCCCCAAAAATACCGCACGATTGCCAGCCCACGCCTAGCGCTCCCAGCACATTCCGCCTCCCTGTTTTTAAAATCGATGGCTTACCCCTTATTCATGTGTTCCTATCAATCACCTGAGGCTTTTAACTCCTCTCCCTTCTCCTCCGTGTGCTGCCCACGCGCGTCGTGGCCGTACCCCTTCGTCAACCCGGACCGAGAGCATCTCTCCCGTGGCTAACCCCGCAGGTGTCTTCCCCGAGGGGCGGGACGCCGGGAAAGTTCGGCATGGCAGCCCCACAGGCAAGATGCTGACGGCTCAGCAAGTCTCTCAGACGGCTGCATTACGGTGGTGAAATGAGGAGGGAGAGATCACAGGCCAAGAATATAACACGAATAAAAGAGAGAAAGAATACTAACGATAAGAGAGAGAGAGACCAACCTCCATCAATCAGTATTAATAATCACTAAAAATACAGAGTAATATATATATTAACCACTATTCTCAGCTAGAAAAGGATTAAACGTAAATAAGAGAGAATTATTGTGCTCAATATAAGAGAAAGAAATAAAATAATATAGCTCCGTGTGTGTGTGGTGTGTGTGTGTGTGTGGGTGTGTGTAGTGTTGTGTGTGTGTGTGTGTGTGTGTGTGTGTGTGTGTGGTGTTTGTGTGTGTGTGTGCTCGTGATGGTGTGTGTGTGTGTGTAGTGTGTGTGCTGTGTAGTGTGTGCTGTGTGTGTGGTGTGTGTGTGTAGGTAACTTAACAATTTCATACTCTGTTTCTCCTCCTCATCCCCAGTCATAATCATCATCTAGGATCATGATAGAGGCCACCCATGACCGCATTATATAATATTCCGCTCTCACTAAGCTGGCTGCTCCTTCTTTCTGGCATCCATCTGTCGTGTTTGCTCCTCATCATCCTAGCCTATATTATTAGGCTTATCTATCACACTCTTATTCTAGACACACATTCTCTAATACTAGTATCCATGTGCACACACTCACTCACTCGCTGCGCACTCGAAGACAACAAATGATCATCACGCATCATGGCTAGCAGGCTTCGAGCATCTCGACAGGTGCTGCAGATGATTGAGCATCGTGCATCAAATCGACCTGACATGGAGAGAGGGCGTTGAAGTCCTGAAAGCGGTCACGAGGAGACGTCATAACCAGTGGCACATTACGAAATGCGCTGGAGTCTCTTGATGCGTATGTGACCAGCTATCCATCCTCGGTATTCACGCAACTCCTAAAGCAGTACATTCTGAACCTCCATCGGAAATATGTTGTAGCTTAATCGCTCTCAGCTGAATGTCGGCATGTGTCAAAGTCGGCAAATATCGACCAAAGACTCTGTGCAACTGGCTTTGAAACTGACACCTTAAGTAGAGTCAAACGCCTACCGCTGAAGTATTACAGCAATCTTAGTATGACGAACATAAAAGCTGCGGAGATTTACAACCTAAATTCTTGATACTGTGCGTATAAGGCAGACGACGGTATTAGGTATTTATTCAGGGTATTTTCGAAATACCGTCGGTATAAGTTTCAAATCAGAGTGAGGACGACAGAGCACGTGCGCCCGCCAACAGATGAGTTGCATATAGATTAGACGGACACGGAAGACAGAAAGCGACGATTGGTTCTACTGCTTGCCGCGCCAAGCAGAGCGCAGGTTGCAGCGAGTCCGTCGTTCCTCACTCTCAGGTAGACGCGAGCCACACGCAGAGCTGGTTGTCTACACCACAGGAGGACGCCAATCGAATATGGGCGGAAAACCCGCTTCAGTGGTGGAAAGTTAAATGAGACACGTTACCGTATGCTGTCCGATGGTGGCCTGCAAATACCTCTGCATATGTGCCGTCAAGTGCAGCGTCTGAGCGTATTTTCAGCATCGCCAGGGAACAACGGTGACACCCACAGCGCACACAAATAAAGCCAGACAAAGTTAATAATGCTTGTCTTTTAGCAAAGAACCTAGATTGAGGTCGCGAGATAGAATGCGCCAAATGGAAGATTTGATTTGCCCTTTTCATATTCGGCTACAAACCATATGCCTGCTTGTCAGGCTTACATTTTTTTTTGTTGAAGGTTTATTTTAGCCTTTTTATCAGGCGGCGGCCGACGGGCCAGTTAAGCTGTCCTTATAGCCTAAATTATTTCCAGTTGTAGCCTAGTTTATTCCCCTTATTTTCATTCTCCGTTGAGAACATTTATGCCATTGATTTATTGTTTTCATATTAGCCTATAAATAGGGCGGTTTGTAGCCTAAGAGGATTTCATTTTTAATTAGGGCCTAAGTTTAAGTTATTCACCCTTTTTTATTTGTATAATTAGGCGGGCCCTATTTTTATATCTTGCTTGTTCAGCCAAAAGTGCCATTTGTACTATTTTGCCCTTATTAATAGGCAAGTAATTTTCATTCTCCGTTGAGAACATTTGAACATGTGTGTGCATGTGTGTAAATAAAGTTATCTGAAACATATAGAAGTTGCAACTGTTTTTTATTGATCGAAAAATTTGACGAATTTATTACAACGGGGGAAAAAATAAAATGAAACAAATTTATTACAACAGGGATGATTTAAGACCTATATTATGTACACTGTGCATTAGCCTACCATATACGATATGGCATATCCAATATCTTTTTTTTTAATTCTTTATGTATGATGATATATTGTTAACTTAGCTCACAATGGAAACAACGTCGGACATCTACAAACGCGTCCTGTATCCGATCTCAAAATGTGCCATTTGCACAATGTGTCATGTATGCAGCCCTTGTTTTGCACTTGCGCGCACGTCGCGGCACTTTGCGAGCGTTTACCGGCTCGGGCTGCATTTTACACCGAACATATAATATACCGTTCGAAACATCTATTTGCCGCCGTTCGAACGCCACCGCACTCAAGTCGACCCAAGTCATACCGTCATATACCGTATACCACGGTATGATGTCAGCAAGGTATGACGGTATGAAAAAAATGATACCGCCCAAGCCTAGTCCTTATCTCTCCCCTCACCCTCCCTCTCCTCTCCGATACTCATCATCTTCTCCCCTCCGCTCTGAGTGGCATTAATTAGCTCATTTTCTCCCTTTCTAAGTGCCTGTGTGGGCTTGTCAAGCCATAATGTGGAAATCATAATGACCTTTGCTTGGCCAGATGGCGCCCTGTGTTACTTCCTGCAAAATTAATCAGATATATAGTCGTGAATCGCAATTTAATTCCCCTATGAATCATATGGATTTTTTGACATTTTGCTACATGGGAACTTGTCGCTTCAGAATAATAAAATGGTTTGTCTTGTGTGTTTCTTTCAAGGCGATAGAGACGGCTCTGGACTGTCTGAAGAGCGCCAACACGGAGCCGTACTACAGACGCCAGGCCTGGGAGGTCATCAAGTGTTTCCTGGTGGCCATGACCAGTCTGGACGACAACAAGCACGCCCTCTACCAGCTCCTCTCTCATCCCAAGTCAGTCAAACATCTGTCCTCTGACTGTGGCATGTGTCTGGATTGTTGGGTTATTGTGGTATTTGCAATAACCAAACGATATGTGGGGAATATCTACATTTGTATGGGCAGCCTCCTGAGCCATATAGTATTTGTCAGCACATGTAAAGCAATGATATCATTGGTAACTTAAAGGTGATGACGCAATAGACGGAAGCTTTCCTGGTGCTGAATACACGAACAGTTCAAATGGACACATGCATTTGCAATACAGTTATAGGTGCAAACATGCCTTGCTCAAGGGCACCTCTACAACCACCAGTCCACACTCCATATTCTTTATATCTGGTTGGGACTTGAACCGGCGTCTTGGCTCCGGTTACAAAGCCAAGTCCCTAGAGACTCAGCTACTTGCTATATAACGTTGATTTAAACAGTACCGTGTAAACAGAAGCACTGCTTGGATGCAAAATCCATTTATTTTGATTATAAATGTGTGCCAGTTTGTTGTTGTGTAGTTTTAATTAATTATTCAAGCTAGATTTGAGATGGGTCAAATATATTTGAAGGCACGTCCTTTGCAGTGCATTTATCAACATACATTCAGTGGAAATTGCATTTCACAATTCGCAGAAGAAGATGGTATGTATCTGATCCCCTCTTTAACCTTGACTTGATTCATCTTGACCTTGACATATATCCCCGCCAACTGCTCACTCCCCCACCCCAGTATATCGTCACACCCCCACCCCTCCACCTGCTGACGTGCCCCTCACCTCTTTCCCCACCGCACACTTCCTCATCAATTCCTTCTCAGAGTTGCTAATTACCCCTCTGGCAGGCTTCACTGCGAGGCGCAGGCACATACATGAAGAGACCAAGGGGATGGGTGGTTTGTCACATTACCATCATTGATCCCCGGGCAGGGGGTTAATTGACTGTCGCTGTCTGTTGATGCTTCACCATGGCCCTTACACTCTCCTGTCATTACGCTCTGACACACACACATGAACATGAATGGGTCCGTGTGCACATTCCTGCGGGGATAATGAAGTGTGTCAGTTATGATCAGGAGGCCTGGCCCTTCCTCTGCTACCATCTTTCCATTTGCAGCGTCCTGTTTCTGTCTTTTGAAAGATTTTGTCTCCCTTTTCTCTCTCTCTCTGCCTCCCTTAATCTTCTTTACCAATCTCTGCTTCAGTTTGTGGTCGCTCAGTATTTAGAATTTCAGTTTTAAAAGGAAAATAACACAAATCATTAAATACTATCTATCTGACATCCTGTCAAAGTAGAGGGCGGCTCTACTTTCTGTGACCCACCAGCCTCTTCCCTCTCCTCTCACCTCACCCTTCCCTCTCACCTCACCCTTCCCTCTCACCTCACCCTTTCCTCCTCTCACCTCACCCTTCCCTCTCCTCTCCTCTCACCTCACCCTTCCCTCTCCTCTCACCTCACCCTTCCCTCTCCTCTCACCTCACCCTTCCCTCTCCTCTCACCTCACCCTTCCCTCTCCTCTCCTCTCACCTCACCCTTCCCTCTCCTCTCACCTCACCCTTCCCTCTCCTCTCACCTCACCCTTCCCTCTCCTCTCACCTCACCCTTCCCTCTCCTCTCCTCTCACCTCACCCTTCCCTCTCCTCTCACCTCACCCTTCCCTCTCCTCTCACCTCACCTCACCCTCCCTTCCACTTCTTCTCCCTCCTCCTTCAAAGAGCAGGTCTTTTAAATGGCAATAATGAAATGAAGCGATCCATCAGGTCTGCCCCTGGCGTGTGGCATTATAAAACACAAGCTCAAGCATGGAGAAAACAGCAGCTCAATCGCACCAAGGCCCCGTTGCCTTCAGCTGCAGTAAATAACACAAATACCAACAGGGGGACAAAGAAGGAAGGAGCTAAGGAAAGGAACTATACGGACAAAGTTAGAGTTAAGTGTTTCCCACAGAATATGATTTTATTTGTGGGGGCACCGCACCCCCCCCGGCAAGAGAAGAGGCCCCATAGAGTTCATGGCTACTGTGGCGTTCTTGTTGCTCTGCGTTGTTAATGAGTGAGACACACCGGAGTTGAGGATCTGTGGGGGTTATTCTCCCAGTAATATCATTTACAATTTAGCAGACGCCTTATTCCAAAGCCACTTACAATGACCAATTACAGGGACATTCTCCCTGGAGTAACTGAGGACTAAGTGCCTTGCTCAAGGGCACACTAGCAGTGGTGTTCAAGGCGGGATTTGAACTCGCAACCTTCCGATCATCAGCCCACCTCACTATCCATTAGACCACAAAATAAAAATGTATGTGAACCATTTGTGGCGGCCGGTATTTAATTGTGGCGGCCCGCCAAAAATAAATCAATGTATGGGAAACACTGGAGTTAGAGGTTTAGGGGCTGCAGACCAGAGGTGGAAGAAGTAAATGTAAAATAAATGAAGTGGAGTAAAGGGTATAACATTTTACCTACAATATGCAGTGAATTAAAGAAGTAGCATAATGTAGAAATACTCAAGCAAAGTATCTACATGTTGTACTTAATTACCGTACTAGAGTATATGTACTTTACACCACGTCTGCAGAGAAAGCCAAAGGATATACATTTTCAAATATGAACCATTTTACCTTTTTAAGTTAAAGAAAGTCACATTTCCACATGGTATAGTTCCCTTCTTGATATGTAATCCTCTTATTCATTGTGTCTTTTGTCCCCCGTTTAGCTTCGCTGATAAGTGGATCCCCAATGTCATCATCTCTCACCGCTACAAAGCTCAGGACACGCCGGCCCGCAGGACTTTTGAGCAGGCTCTGACGGGGGCGTTCATGTCGGCCGTGATAAAGGACCTGAGGCCCAGCGCGCTGCCGTTCGTCGCCAGCCTGATCCGCCATTACACCATGGTGGCCGTGGCCCAGCAGTGTGGTGAGGGGCCGCTGCTCTTTCTGCTCTACAGCTAATATTAGCTCTCTGCTTTAGCATTAGGTGTTCAGTCCCAGCTGCACGGGAACATCAGTCACTTACTAATGTTGTCCTCTGGTTAAGATAACATATACTTCATTGATCCCAATTTGGGACATTGGGCTTTTTGAAACAAGGCATTGCACATCATATGGAAAATAAAAGGAGTAAAAAATAAACAAACATAAAGTATAAACATCTCGAAATAGAAAATAAATCTCAAAATAGAAAATAAAACAGAGCTAAAATTGTTGACCGTGAAAGATACAAATCTTTTTCAACTTGTATTAGCAGAAAATAATATTTTATTAAATACTTTTAATTAATTTTGACCAGTATTGCAATTGCGATACGAGTCGCTTTATTAGAGGTAATCATCATTTTCAAAGCATTATTGACATTCTAATTAAAAGCTATAAACATTATCTTGATGTACTAAACAAGGATTTAAAATTAAGTTTACAGAATACCATTTGTAAGACCGGGACTTAATCACAATACTTTTAGACATTTTCACATTTATTGCCTTTACCAAATATTGTGCGGACCAATTTACATCCATATATTTCAGTACAATCATAATTCATTTCCACTTGTCCTCCCCCCGTGACCCCAGGTCCGTTCCTGCTGCCGAGCTACCAGCTGGGCAGCCAGCCGAGCACCGCCATGTTCCACAGCGAGGAGAACGGCTCCAAGGGCATGGACCCGCTGGTTCTGATCGACGCCATCGCCATCTGCATGGCCTACGAGGAGAAGGAGCTGTGTAAGATCGGAGAGGTGGCCCTAGCAGTCATCTTCGACGTGGCCAGCATCATCCTCGGCTCCAAGGAGAGGGTACGTCACTGGGAGGAGGGGGGAGGGTTCAGTCTGTCAGTCAATGTAATAAAGACATCAACACTTATGCTTAAACATGCTATTAACTAAGCTATTTATATATATATCATTACACAGCATTTTTTGTACAGTATTTCATTTTAAATGCAGTTTTTATCTAATCTTGAACCATTTTCCATGTATATATTTGACTTATTTCTGCATTTTCTTTTACTTTACTCTTGCTCCATATTGTTGCTGTTTTTTATTTTAATTTGTTTTCATGTATTTACTATACTGGACGTTGCATAGCTGGAAGAGACTTTAGATTTTCCTTGCCAACAACTACTGTGTAGCCATTGACAAAAAGCCTTTAACTCTTTGAATCAACTGTTTTGCAACTATGGTAAACCAAATAGCCATTAATATAACACCTGACATTATTATTATTATTTTTTGTAACAAATTGATTACTTTTGTTCACATATTGAAGTTTGAGGTAAACTTCCGATACTCTATTGACAGAATTAAGATTTCGATTTTAACTATTCTTGTACATTTCGATCTATGTATTCATATTTAAAAGTCCTAAAATGAGAATCAGTTCATCACCCTGTCCTCCTCTCCTCCTCTTCTTCAGGCGTGCCAGCTGCCCTTGTTCTCCTACATTGTGGAGCGCCTGTGCGCCTGCTGCTATGAGCAGGCCTGGTACGCCAAGCTGGGCGGCGTGGTGTCCATCAAGTTCCTGATGGAGAGACTGCCTCTGATCTGGGTCCTGCAGAACCAGCTCACCTTCCTCAAGGCTCTGCTCTTCGTCATGATGGACCTCACGGGAGAGGTTAGTTATTCATGACTGAAGTGTCCAATATTTAGCCTTTGTTGTTGACTACTCGAATGATGTTTACCAAAGACATGCTACAGGTGGAATTCAACATCTTTCCTCTTTTGTAGCTACAACCTACTCTCACTTTATGGCATTTAACTTACCAATCTATTGATCTTCACCCCAAGGTGTCAAACGGAGCAGTAGCCATGGCTAAGACGACCCTGGAGCAGCTGCTGGTGCGCTGTGCGACTCCACTGAAGGATGAGGAAAAGACTGAGGAGCTGCTGGCCGCCCAGGACAAGTCCTTCCATATGGTGACTCACGACCTGGTGCGAGAGGTCACCTCCCCCAACTCCACCGTCAGGAAGCAGGCCATGCACTCCCTGCAGGTGCTGGCTCAGGTCACCGGCAAAAGTGTGACCGTCATCATGGAACCACACAAAGAGGTGAAACCAAGGACTACAGTGTTTCTAAAACTACATGTAAATGCTGTGCTAGATCTAAAAACAGGTGTGATATCATCGTCAACACAAAATGGGCTCCAGTTAGGGAATGTGTTGGATCACTGTAGACTCATACATTCTGGAATCTCTCTCTAATTGTTTTCTTGGGATGTCCTTTATTCTTCAGGTGTTGCAGGACATGGTTCCCCCGAAGAAGCACCTGCTCCGCCACCAGCCTGCCAACGCTCAGATCGGCCTGATGGAGGGCAACACCTTCTGCACCACCCTGCAGCCCCGCCTCTTCACCATGGACCTCAATGTCATGGAGCACAAGGTTTTCTACCAAGAGGTGTGTTTTTAAATGTTTTTACATCATGTATGAGAGTTCATATCAAAATATGGTTTTATTGTCTCGTGCTTTTACATTTGTTTTTTTGTCTAAATGTATTTATGCTACTTTTTATACATTTATTGATGTACAGCACTTTGGTCAACTCTGTCGTTTTAAATGTGCTATATAAATAAAGTGGATTGGATGTTAATATAATCTACTTTTCCTATTTTCTTTCTCACACATTTGCTTAAAAGTTCCGTTTTTTATGGTTATTTAAACAAAGCTATTTGCCTTATTTAGAACAATGCAAAGGCATCCTAGGCCTAGATTTAAGATATTTGATATAACCATTTTGCAAACATTGGACTCAATTAAGCTACAATCTGAAATCACTAGTTTCAGCGCCCTGATGTTTGACCTCTGACCTTAATGTTTCTCTTGTCTCCTTCCAGCTGTTGAACCTGTGTGAGGCAGAGGATGCTGCTCTGATGAAGCTTCCCTGTTATAAGAGCCTCCCCTCCCTGGTTCCCCTGCGCATCGCTGCTCTCAGTGAGTACTTCCTGCTCAACCTCGATATTCGTCCTTTGTATTCATGGTCCTCTTGTGTGTTAGTTGCAAACTATTCTGGACGAATAAAAATCCTTAAATGTTGAAAACTGTCCATAATTAAGGCAAACTAAAATCCTCAACCTGGAAAACTAATACGAAGAATAGGGCTGCACGATATTCGAAAAAACTGACATTGCGATAATTTCTTCCCCTACGATATATATTGCGATATGAAAAAATACAGGAATTGAAGAAAAGACCGCAAGCCATCCTTTCTTGAACTTAAATGCTATACAATTGGTATTTTTTTAACAATATTAAACCGGATGAAGGATTTTAGTCACGGACTTCTGGGTCTTAAGTAGGGCTGCACCCGAATATTCGTTCGTTGGAGTACTATTCGGGTTTCAATTTCGTTATTCGGATATTCTTTTTTTATTCTTTTTTTTATTAATTGAAATCTCCAATGTCAACGTAAGTGCTTGTGCCTCTTCGGGGGGTGCTAACACTTAACCATAAACGCTATTGTTTACTTTCTCCGTCTTTATATGTAGATATTACTTTTTCTCCATTGATCTCCGTCACGTTGTTTCCATAGCAACAACAACAACTTCCTGTCAACTGCGCTAACTCTCCTTCAAAGTAAAAGCATGTCCATACAAAATAGAAAGCCAAGCCAAATTACACTTAAGACATATACAACTGCAACGAAAGTAACACACACGATATCCTTTTCAATTTCAAAGAACACAAATTGGGTTACATTAACAAATAACTATAAAACAACAATACTGTAGAATAACAAAAAGAATGCCGTGAATAAACCGAAATACACGTCTCGAAGCGGTTCGCTGCTGATTACTGCACCCCCCCCGTATTCTTGGCCTGCGCTTCTTAAGGAAATCACTCGGAGGGAGCATGTGCTACAACGAGAGCCTCCTCGACATTGAGAAACACCTGTGTGTGTTGTGTGTGTGTGTGTGTGTGTGTGTGTGTGTGTGTGTGTGTGTGTGTTTGTGTGTGTGTGTGTGTGTGTGGTGTGTTGTGTGTGTGTGTGTGTGTGTGTGTGTGTGTGTGTGTGTGTGTGTGGTGTGTGTGTGTGTACCTACCTTCAGTGGGGGGTGAGGGCGAGCCTGGCGAACTCCGGGGAATCTCTCTCTGAGCCTCGATCGCAGCTCCCCGGTCCAGCTTTGGGTTATCAAACAGCGGAGGAGGTGACTGAGGGGGACAGGTTATTAATTATTATTCTCTTATAATAGGAGTGTGTGTGTGTGGTGTGTGTGTGTGTTGTGTGGTCTTACGCAGCACTCATCTTCTCCATGATGAAGAGTGAGGCGAGTTGAAGACGCCTGACCGGACCTGAGTTTCCAGCGGAGGGAAGAAGTGAGGGTGATCTGAGGAGGCAACAGGAGTTTATCCCCACCATGATCCAGCGTACAGAGGTGTGTGTGTGTGTGTTTGTGTGTGTGTGTGTGTGTGTGTGTGTGTCATTACCCTGCACTGAGTCCAGCAGCCGTGGCCCGTGATGGCAGGTGAGGCTTCATGGAGTGATGCATCACCAGGTGGCAGTTCTGAAAACACCACCACCCATGAGACAGAACACACCACTCCCACTTATGTCAGTGAGGTACTAGGGGTCTGTGTGTGTGTGTGTGTGTGTGTTGTGTGTGTGTGTGTGTGTGTGTGTGTGTGTGTTGTGTGTGTGTGTGTGTGTGTGTGTGTGTGTGTGTGTGTGTGCTGTATCACGCTATGTTCATGATGCCTGCTTCTCAGGATTGAAGACGCCAATCATAGAGAGAGGCCAGCTTTGGCGTTTTTGAGGCAGGACGTTTCGACTGAAATACATTGATTGGTTATGACAGGGCTTGAGGCCCCGCCCACGTAAGTGTTACAGGAAACAAATGTAGGAAACAAAGGGGAAGGGACCAAAGGTCAATTAGAGGGAGGCAAGAAGACACAAGAAAGGACCGAAGGGGGGAAAAGGGAGGTGATTTGGGAGGGACAGCTGGAGGCTCCGGCCCCCCCTTAAAACCGTGCAACGTGGTGCAGCACCAGCCAATAATTAGGGCGCCAAAAAAAGCGCGGCAGGAATGTCGGAGCTCAGCACCTCATTTTTGGACGCGATGGACCACTCCGC